CGGGCATTCGGTGTCGCGTGCATCAATTACGACAAATCTTTCAATATTATCAACTATGATCATCTCTGCCTGCCTACGTGTACCCCTTCTACCTAGACGACATTGACAATCACTAGCCCCAATCTATGAATGTGGAAAATCCTTTAGCTTGGCTAGGCTTATGGCGTGTGAATGATCGGTGGCTTGGAAACCCTATACTGCGATTTTACCTATCTGATTGGACGTCAGTCGAAGAAGTCTTACGATGGTAGGGATTTGTTGGCCAATCAAGTGATTTGGGGCTGGCGGTGCTGTTACATTTGACGCTGACCAGAGCCTTGATGGGTGGTAAGATGAGGCTCTTAAAGCGCAATACCACTAATAAGTACAGCCAGCTCAACGCTGTCCAAACCTGACGCCCCTTTCCCTCTCACTATCTTTGTTTGTCAAACGCCAGGATTTACCAAGATGACCTCTGAAGTTACCTCAACAACTTCTATCATCGCAGAAGATGCGTGGAAGTCCCTCGTCGAGCGCAGTATCAACGAATGGAATTCGCCAAGTGGAAACATGCATGACTTCGCGATGGGATTTCTGCAGAATTACACAAGCCTAGACGATTTTCTACGCAGTCCACGGGAACTCCCGCTCTTTTGGTTCTTTCAAAGGAGAGAAGCCTTTCTTTCGCAACAGACATTCACGAAATGGAACAGAGATCGGCTTGAGGACTATGTTCTTCTTCCTGCCCTCAACAACTTCGTCATGCGATCAGAGTGTTTCTTCGTCAGTCACTTTTGGACCACGAGCAACGACCCGGATCCTGATGGCTCTTGTCTGCGTCTTCATCAGAAAGAGCTCGGGGTTCAGGGTTGGTCGCACATCTGGGTCGATTGGACCTGTCTGCCTCAGTACCCCCGGACCGAGAGCGAAGAGGAATACTTCCTGCGAGGGCTGGAAACAATGCCTGGAATCATTCGCAATTGCGGTTTCTCGTGGTTCTATCCCGGGTTTGAGCCGCGCCTTTGGATCTTGTATGAAATTGCAGAGTATACCCTGACCTGTGATGGGGGTATCGAGGAGTTTGAGGATAATCAGGAGTTTGTGAAGCACATTCAAGAAATGCAGGAAACTAGCGTTCCATCGGTGTTGCGCAAGTACGGATACAGGTGTAGCGACGAGCGAGACAAAGACTACTTGACGTCGTGTTTGGAGATTCTCGTTTACTTGATACGGTTCGGCATAGACATGGGCGAGGTCAGAAGACTAATGTCTAACGTCTTGTGGTTTTCTTTCACTCCAGATATAATGTACCAGAGTCACCTTGGACTTGTGCAAATTTGGAGGTTCGAAGGGGCGCTGGAATTTCAAGGCCAACGTTACGAGTTTACACCATTCCCCAAATGGGTAAGTTGTTCCCTGGTATCATCAAGTTAATCATCATCACTAATGAGCTTCTCACAGGGAGAGGGCAAATACTCCGCCAATGCAAAGCGGTTGGGAGATATGGAACCTTCCAGCTAGGTTTGCACGTGTAATAGTAGAGAAATGGAAGACTGGTGAAATGGAGGCAAGGGTGCGTGGTTCGGAAATATGAAGACATCGAACGGCCGAAGGTATGGAATTGAGCATGTGAACTTCTTGTAGTTTCTCCGTTTTTTTGAGCGTCTATTGTTGGGATATCTCTAAATCAAGTCATGATGAATCGCTGAAAACAAAAAGTACAAGGTCATGTCGGTTCAACCAAAGACCCGGCGTCTCAGCTCGCTCTTCAATGAGCCAAGCATGTGAGCGCTCTCCGCGACAGCTCCCTTATTCTCGACCGCCCTTCTGTGCAGGTATCCCATGCACTCTGAAACCGAACCCCACGGGAGATACTTGAACGGCTTGGGGATAGCATCTCTCTTCAACCCAGAGTCTGCCACACAGGTATCGTAGTTGTCCAGCAACTCACAGCTCAATTCATCCGCCATACCAAACAGCTGACCGCACTCAAGCTCAGTCGTTGCTTGGCCGTCTAGGATTCTGCGGCGGTGGGTAGAGATCGCTGTCGCAGAGCTGGCGGCGTTGTGGGTAGCGAGAAAGAGCGCGCTAGCTGGGAACTGGCACTCCTTGGCGTCTTGAGGGAGTCTCTGGCTGATGAACATGTCGGCGATGTCGTCAAAGTTCTTATCGGTATCTTCCTTGGTGTCGTGGATCAGGGATCGGACTTCGTTCTCGATGTATGCGCCGCGGACCAACTTGACTCCCAAGCTCCAGCCCTCCTTCGCGGCCAGGGAAATGTGACGCTCGGAATTAGCCTTGGAGCCCTTGAGATAGCCCTGAATAGTGTTGTAGATCAAAGGCTTGCTCTGGCGGTTGTGCTTTCTCATGAGGTCGATAGTCCACTCGTCCAATTGGGGTTGAAGGGCTTGTTGCTCGGCATCGATCCAAAGACGAGATCCTTGCTTGTTGGTTTCCTCGCAGAGTTCGTCCAAAGCCTTGCTCAAAACTTCCGGGATGGGTGCTTTCGCCTTCAGTGCATCTACAGAGATGGGACCAGCGCCAGTAATCCTGATGTTGTTAATGGAGAAATACGTGGAGGTATTCCAGGGCAACTTACTTGACAGCCAGGAAATCGCCCGGCGCCATCATACGGAGAGTTTCGAGGTTTCCCTTCTTCCATTGGTCGACCATCTGGTAAACCTCTGGTGCATACTCTCCAGCTTTCGCTTCCGCCGCGGCCGCTTTCTTATCCAGAACGATTTCCTTTGCGTAGTTGAGAATGACACCCTGGTATCCCATCCGCTTCACTTCAGAAACAGTCTTTGAAACCTGAGGAATGTTCTCTCCAGCACAGAAATGGTCGTAGATAGTCCATCTCAATAGTCGGTTCAGCAATGGGTTCTTATCGGGGTTGAAAAGTGCGAGTTTTGTGTTAGCGATAAAGTGCAGTAGAGGTAGTGCTGGCTTCATGAGAAGTGGCGTTGACATAAATTGTGTGAGGAATAGTGACCGGACCAGGGCCTTTGTTGAAAGTCTAGATAAGGGTGATTTCTTCGGGGTCGGCGTGAATGTCCGCGGTGCTGTTGGAGATAAGGTCTGTGTCTTGGCCGACGTGGTGCTGACATATCTCGCCGCTCCCTTCAGTCGAAGGGATCTGCAGAAAGGCATCGGCGCCTGCCTGCACGCAACGAGTCTTGCGTTCATCGTGATAGTTAGATAGGTAGACTTCGATATTTGGCTAAGACGAGACTTGACACACGTAGAGATGGTGGGAGGGTGCCTGGGTACTTCTATTTATCGATCACGAACGGCTACGGCCGGCATAAACTCTGAATCACGACCGAGCCATGGCATCGTGGGAGGTATGTCTCCGAGCTAGCCACCCCCCGCCATCGGCGTTCCGATGGTGTGTCTTTGCGCACGCCCCGGAGAAGAGTAATGGTCTGCGTGTGGTATTTGCGGCTCTTCTCCATCACGGAGCACGGCGGAGCCGCCTTTGCACTGGACCCTCACTTCGCAGGTGGATAAGACAAGCCCGCCACCGACGCAAAATCAAGACATCATTGGGCCTCGATGAGATCGAAATCTAACAAAAGCCCGTTATCGGAATGCTTTGAGTTTAGATCCATGAGATAAGAATGACCAAGTGACCAAAGTCGGGTGCTTAGACAATGAGGGGCGACCCCGGATGTAGCAGGTGTCGGTGCGTACGTCCCGACATGTCGGATCCAAAAAGTCGGAAGGGCTTATCTCGTCGGAAGCTCGTCCCGACAACACACTAACACGCTTGATCTGCCGTAGATCATCGACTCTATTCCACACACAAGACCCCCATCCTTGGCAGTACATTTTCTTGTTCTCTTTGTGATACATCCTCTGCAATAGTTCGAGGAAACATAAATGTCATCTAAAGTTGTGGGGGCAAGCTCTCAAGTGCGTGGGCGTACGACGATGTGTCTATGCCCGTTTCCTTCAATGCAAAGGGCTTTGTCTCTTGCCTGTGCGCCATGCAATAGGTCAACCCATCATCTCCATGGTCTTATCAGAAGCAGAGTATCTCGTGGACCTGTATCCAATATGTTGAAGACGGGTTTGACTCTATCTTTGTTAGAGGCGCACGTGCCGCGCCCATGTTGCCAACTCATGCACGACTGAGATATACTTCAAAAGCGGATTGGGCTTTAAGACCATTGAGCCAATGCAATTCAATTCACGGTTCCGCTAGAGACCTTTAATATGGAAGGTTGTATGGAGTAATTGGCCACGAAGTGGATCAGTGCTCTTAAGGAATGTGTGCAATAACTGTGTGAACCTTACTACCTTACACTACATTTTCCACCATTTTGAGAGTTCAACCTTAAGAAGCAATTGTGAGCCGTACTGCATTCAAGGCAGGGCAGGGCATAAGTCGCCTTTGGAAGTCGCCTCATCGGTAGCCAAGACTTGCAGTATTTTCTTGCCACTGTATTGAATGAGAACATCCTTTCAGTGCCTACCCTCATTGCTAATCACCCTCAGATCAAAGACAGGAAAGTCTCCACAACCCCGGCCTTGCTGCTTTTATGTAATACATAGGAGAACCAGCATCTATACATCATACAAGTTATCCAGGCCCCTACAGCTTTGAGTGAATGAACAAATTCAATCATCTCGTCAGATTGGACGACAGGTCTGTCAAACCTGTTTTCCTCGCTTGAAGCAGCACACAGTTGCAAGAAACTCCAGCTCTGCATAGCGATGTCATGTCGACTCGAGTATCCTGAAACCCTTGAGTCCAGAACATCGATTGGCAATCAACCAATAATTTCAATGACCGTTTAAGCCCTCGGCGAAACGCAGCGTCAGTCTTTGAAGCATTGATGGAAGATAATGTTGATGAGAGGGAATGATTCGGCCTCGCCAAAAGATTCTCTTTAAAAAGCCTTGGCTTGTGACAAACTAGACATAATTGACGCTGATACACGGAATTGAACTTTTCCTATCACGAGCATGCTTCAGCCCATGCTTCATCTTGGATCGAGCGACGTTCGAATTGACATTCAAGTCTCCTTGATGTTCTCAACCTCCCAAACCGCGCCCTTACACTGCGGCTCCCTGAACCGGCCTTCTTCGCCGGCTGAACAGTGGTACAAGAAGCCGTACCCGTTACAGTTGACCAAGACTGTCGAATCGACCTTTCCAGCGCGAAGTACAAGCTGACTTTGCTTGTGGACGACGGATGTGCCAGAGTCTCCGCAGAAGTAGACGTTGTTTGCGTTGAGGTTGCAGTTTGAGATTCGCTTGTACCCGTTGTATTTGCCGTTAAAGGTTCCTTCTCCGCAACTTGCGAGGGTTTGGCCCGAAAGCAGGGCTACGGCCATGATAGAGATGGCCGAGAATTGCATCGTAGCTGTCTTTGATTGAGTTTGAGAATTTTTTTCCGTCTTGAAGTATGGAAATGGTAACGTATGAGGCGTAGGTTCCTTGTTCTTACTTAGGGAGTTGTGATATCGCTTGGCGTTTATAGTAGCATTTGACGTTGCTTCAAAGAACTAGCTAGTATTTATATATCAACTCTATACACCGTACAGCTTCTAGCACAAATTCAGTAACCGTAGTTGGCGGAAGTTTCGGCTAGGTGCACCTCCTGAGACAATTCCGTGGGTTCAGAATGACCAGTATGAAGGTTTGATCAGAAATTAGTCTATGAACTAGACTGAACTCTCTATGATTACCTTACTGTGGAGCTCTGGCGATGCTTTTGCTGGACGCTCTCCTCTACACATCACTGGAGATGGCTTTGCCGCCGAGTCAGGTAAGCAGCGCACTGAGCGGGCTTGAGTGGGAGTCCGAGATTGAATATCGGGAGTGATGCGGTTTCCGAAAGGCCTGAGAACTTTGGTTCAAGGAGCTTGAGTCATAAAGCGATCTATGCGTTGTTGGCAATTTCGCCTGCGAGAGATGAAAAGTCAAAATACCAATCATGCGACTCGATGCTTCCAATTGAACGAGAAAGTCGACTTTCAATGAGGAACTGTTATGGCCAGAATAGCAAACGCAAGTGAAATGATGTGAGAGAAAGATGAATTTTTTGGTTGAAGCAGTCCAAGTTGATACATCACATCAACTATACCAAACTTCACAAGTTCGCGATGCCGGGGAGAATCAAGGGCTCTTCTTAGGACCTCTGTGGAATGACTCGAGTCCCTAGCTGATTCATCTCTAATAAAGTTTCAAAACCTGGCGCCTTCCTTCAACTTGCACCTCACTCATGTTTGCGACCAAAGTTGGGTAAGAAGGACCAAGTGAACAACAAGAATGCCAGCGCCCCGAGCAGTATCGGCGATAAGACTTGCACACCGTGGCGCTGAGCCTGAGCTCCGATTACAAATGGCAGGATAGCAGCGCCACTACCTCCAAGACCGATGGCGAAACCGATAGCACTGACGTGTAAGTGCCTCGGTAGTAGCTTCGTGATGGCTATCATCATGGTGGGGAACAGGGGTCCGAGGAAGAACCCCTGGAGTGATACGGTGATCGCGGAAACAAAGAATTGGGGAATAAGCCAGAACAAAAGCTGCAAACAAACGGCAGCGCCGAGGTATAGCTATCAAGGTTTCGACGTGGTTAGTTGATTCAGAGTGACATAGTTACGCGAGATTTGAACATAACTTGGGTCGGGTTATCAAACGTACCATGACTGCGAGCTTCTCGCCCACTCGAGGGGTCACGAGACCTAAGGCAACTCGACCCAGAGCCAGCCCAGCCCAGAAACCAGTGGCTGTCATACCGCTGGCAAATTCTTCTCCGTGGCGAACCTGCAACATGAATGTGACGATCCAACCGCCAAGAGACACCTCCAGTCCGACATAACCAAGGGCGAATATTGCGCATAGCCAAGTAACCCGGGCCGAAGGGAGTTTGAACAATGTCTCGTGGACAATTGACTCTCGCGGCTCTGGACCCTTGGGATTCTCTTCACAGTATGCAACCCCAGTAGCGGACCAGAAGGCAGAGGGAGTCAGAACGAGCTCCACCATAGCCAGACCAGCCTTGTTGCGGAATGACTCTGTTAGCAAAACCTTGAAAGACGTTCGTTGTGGAAACTTGACTCTCACCATGAAGTAGTAAAACGTGTGCCATGGAAGCTGAGCCTTGCTTATAATTACAGTTGCCGTCATTGGACTGAGGACAGCGCCGACACCATAACAAGCATGCATCAGACTGATGACATGGCTAGAGTCCGCCAGACTCCCGACCCAAGAGTTCCAGGCAGCGTCACCGATGCCATTGCCCAAGCCAGCCAACATGTAAATAAAAACTAACGCTGGATACGGTGGATGTAGTGAGATGGCAATGTACGATGCTAGGTGGCAGAAAGAGCAGATAATTGCGATGCCTCTTTGTCCAACACTCTCATGTAGACTGTTGTTCAAAATGGCGGAGAGCGTGTGGCCTATGAAAGGCGCAAGGAAGATCAGAGACGTGAAGGAGTACGGTAAGTCGTAATATTTTCCCAGCTTCGCATCACGGTCTTGTCAGATGGTATCGGTAGAATAAGTCTTGGACATAGCTTACATGAGGAATAATTGCCTGGTCGCACATGAAGCCTACGTTAGTAACCATGATCACGACATTGTCCTGTTTATTGTACCAACTTACACCATATGAGGCATCATTTGCTCCCATGACCAATAAACTCCAAAAGACAGCCAAGGTTCGGATAACATTCGAACGTGAGCTTTTCCATGTCTGCAAGGCTACGATTGCATCATCGGGTGGGAAAGCCGATCCAGTGCGTTCATGATGGACGAATTCTGACGGATGGCTAGACTCACCCGGATACCCGGGGTATGAATGGGGCGAGAATGTTTCGCCATTTGGTGTGCCATGCTCTCTGTTGGTAGGTAGGAAAGGAAGCTGCCGTAACTCGATGCGTTGAACGTGGGTAGTCGGCGCCATCTGGTAAAATGGAAGCTTTAAGCTTGGCCTGGAGGTCTGTGCCTCAACGTGATAAGTCGGAGCCCTTTAGTGAAAATGGACATGAGGTTTTTTGCGAGTTGGGGAGACTACACTCAGGAATAGTGCAGGATTTCCAGTAGCATGAGAGCTGGTCTGTCGTTGTCAGCCTCTTCCAAGCAGGTGTGGCTGGAAATGAGTGGTCCCTTCTGTCGGAGTTCCCAGAGAAGAAATGCGGCTATCAGGCATACTACTTCATGACATGGGCCACACACTCAGTACATATACTCACACAAGCTCTTTCCGAACTAGCAGCACTGTAATTGACCCCTTGTGACATTAGATAACGTCATTACATGTATACACAAGCAAGAAATCAAACGATGAGTATTCGAAGAAGGATTTGTAATCTCCCCAAAACTCTACTCGGCCATGATCATTACGAGTGTTCAAGAGGATTTGGCAGTGGCTCCGGCCACCCTCTAGTACTCAAACAGCTACGAATACTTCTTGGATACTCTGGCAAGTGTCTCGCCGTGCTTCTTGACACAAATTCATAGCCAAGAACCAAGCTAGTAGGTGTACATGTGTCTTCTATGTGGATCAAATGCTGAGCTCGGGAAACTGTGGAGCGCTAAGCCTCAGGGGCCTGGACATGTAGTTAGGACCCCTTCCCGAATTAGGAAGTACTCCCCGCCGGAGAGGAATTTGACTGCCTGGGTACTTGTATAGACATGTGCTTCGGGTCATGTAGTAGGGGCTCTTACAGTATGGAAGCATAACTTACAACTGCTTTGTGTGCACTCTGCTATTTCCCTTTTGTTTCCAAGAGAACTATTGTAATTGGTCGAGTTTCAATGATCGAAGCAATCTAAGCAACATCCTTCGACCATATTCTCATCAAGAGGATAGTATAAAATTGAACATTGCAGTTGAGTGTTTACGGCTAAGGACTAGATCCATATTTGGTTGAGAATATCTACACATGCAAGGATTTCGACAAGTCATTTAAGACTTTGTCCTGCAAATGTGCGCCGTAGACAGGCGGTACGTCCAGCCCGCTGAGTGATGCCACATCTTCGTTGATTTTCGGACTCGTTGACCGAACGAACTTGTTATTCGCATCAATTGGCATCTGAGGTGATGCAAAGAGTACGACAGGCAGCGATGCACGGTACTGAGCTTTGTTAACAAAGTCAGGATTCTCGTGCGCCATCAGGCACTTACCTTATTTGCAAAAGGACTAATGTCTGAATCCTGAACAGTGACCTCGATCGAAAGAAGGTGGGTCATGCTGATATCGTGGGATTCCATATCTGGAGAACATCGTTTCGGCTCTGCAGGAAGAGGAAGGCTCTGCGTCGTCTTGTAAAAGCGTTGCTCCAAATTCTCGTGGTTGTTCATTGGCGTCTCCCACTCGGCAACATCCCTATCGCCAACAAAGGTTGTTTGCTGGCTTTTACCAGCCTTCACCTTGTGTGACTCCCAAAGTTGGCATTTTGCTTGAGAGATCCTTGTTCCTGCTTTCAGCGGCGCAAAGCGCATTTCGAGAGGAATAGCTGTGCCCAGGGCAATGGCGCGATGGCCGATGGAGATCGAATACCGCAACTTTTCTCCCCATATACCTTCGACCGTCACAGGATCCATCAACTCGAATGCGGAATTTGAAAGCGTCCTATTTATTCGTATCGTTTTGTATGCCTGAGGCGTTGCAGAAGAGGTGTTGCTTCGAATCGTCGTTGCCGTCAGTTGGTAGGTGATGCTGCACCGACTACACCCTTGAAAAGTTTCTGGTGTATCACCGTGTATAGAAAGTTTGAATGGCCACTCATGAGTAGTGGTATTAGAGGAACATGGGGGGAGGTCTCTATGACCATGGTCGATGAGGAAGGGAGGCCATTCGTACTCGAAGACGCGGACTGTGGTTGAGCCTTCGCTCGATTTTGATCCTATGTCATGGTCTCTAAAGACAAAATCATCAGCCTCATGTCGTGTACTAAGTCTGAATACGCTACCTACCTGCGACGCAAGAAGCCGTCTAAACGTAGCCGGACGCCGACTGCAGGCTGTGTTGAAGGTAGACAAAGACTAAGAACTCCTCGAAGAGCTTGCTCATTTGCTTCATCTGCTGTCCCTCTTAAGAACACGTAATCTCGATCCATCCTGATATCCAGGAAAGCCAATCAGCCAAATGACCTCGATATACTTATGCGGAAGACGCAAAACGAGCTTGCTTACAGAATTTTGAGGGACGCATCTTGGCTTCCAACGCCCGTTAGCCGTGACAAAAATGAAAGCATGGAAACTGATGTCTAGCTTCCGTTTCGGACTGTTGTGATCATCAATAGAAAGCAGAAATTTCGGCTCGATTTCTCTCCGATAATAATCGAAGGAGCAGGATACCCAGCCAGCAAAGGTGCGTGTCGCCTCATGATGCTCTTCAGCAGTATAGACCGAATCGTGATGGCACTCCGTCAGCAATGAGCGGAATTGATTTCCGTCGGAAGTGAGGTTAATCCAACGTCCTCAGCCTCGAAACACAGCGAGTAGGTACTCAGCCAGGCAATACACCGAGATATGTTTTTGCTTTCAGCGAGTACCTTGTATTTTGCTGTAAGGCAAAGCCAAGCGGGGGAGTTTTTCCAAGTCAAGATCGAAAGAGGGTGGCAGCACTGGATAATCCCTGCGCAGAACAAGGTACATGATTGCGGCCGATCCCCAAAGAGGTAATAGAGCCCACCGGCAAGCTAGGGATATGACTTTGCTAAGGTCCCTCGGGCCACAAGCTTCACATGTTCTTTGGCCCAAAATGCATCATGCCATGGCTGGAATAAGGTCAACTGTTGAGACGGAATACATTTGCCGCCAGTTTCCATTGAGTAATCAGGTCATCAGCTGGCAGCAAGAACCTTTCAATGCTCCTTTGACAGGATCTAGGGCCGCATCACATCTGCGTCTTCGAAATAACAAACAAGTGGAGTTATTGCGGAGGTAGCGGAGTTTTCCGCTTGCCGGGTCAGCACCCGATCAACCGGCCTTGCCCCGTTCGGATCCCCGAATCCGGTTGATCCTCGGGAAAGTCACGATGCTGACCTGCCTCAAGATTTTTGGTGTTTGTGTGACTCTAGACGGAAAATTGATTCCTTTGACAAATCATGCCGTATGACTAACCGCTGGCTGGCTGGTCTGATATGCCGACACATCAAATACGGCGATCACATCCCTCATTGGCGTTGGGACTAGGTATCTCGGGAGCTCGGCTAACAATTTCTAGCTCTCACCTAGTGAGACAATCATGCTACGCTGTCGGGGTTAGCTGCATTTCGACGTCACATGCTGTGACAATCTTCCCCCTCAGCGTGGACCTGGGACTGGAATCTGCTGCCGGTGGGAATTCATCTCCCTTCACCTCTTTCCGTCGTGTCGTCGCTGTGTTGATGATACCTTCTGTCGACTGCCAGCGTGCTTTCCTTGAAAGCGTAGCGCATCCCGACCGTACGCCGAAGCAGACAATACTTAAGTTGATTATCCGCTGCGTCTATTGTTGCCATGAACTATCTCGAGTGATACTTGACCCGGAGCTGTTATCGTCGCATCATTGATCCCAACGGCACCATCCCTTATTGGGCCACCCCGATCCAGCAGTCGTCCAACTAAGCTTTGTCCTCTCCCTACCTAAGCCACCAACACGTCTCGATAAGACGACGCCGGATCCCATGGCATCAACTTCACTTTTATCTGCGTCTATCATCACCAATATGGCAGCCCTTCCAGCGTACGGGAACTATCATCACGTTCAGCTGGCGGAGGTTTTTGACTGTGCCCTCGATCAGAGGCTGGGCCGTCACCTTGCACCCACGCCAGCCCATCTCACGCGCGTCGTCTACGTACCGAACCACAAAGACATCACTACTCATTTGCCTCTCTACGATTACAATGAAAATTACGACAAGGCTGTAAAGCAAGAGCCTATCGGCAGCAGCAAGTACAAACTTGGCCTGGCAATGATGAGGCGACCGTTGGGAGATGGAACCGATGCGCAAGTTCGTTATCTGGTCAACTTCCAGAAGGGCCTTGAGGGCGTCGCTGCAACGGTGGAGAGGAGAGTGCCGAGCCATGATGGTGAGATCGTTAGCTTGTGAGTTTCTTTAAGCGTCATCCTACCCAGTGAGTAAGAAAATACGGTTATTAACAATTTCGCAAGGCATATACCTGCTGATGACAATGGAATCTTTCGCGTTGCACCGCACAGCATGGAGCAAGACCTGCAGCTAGCAGTCACCAGCTCGTTCCCCGTCCCAGACACAAAGATGCACGCAGCCGCAAACCCCGTGCGACACCCATGGTTCACGATTTCTCAGACATCGCGAGACGGGAGCATAACTGTTCCCTCGAATTTGGAGTGGCAAGCGCGCCCAACAGAAGATGGGCCTCTGCGCTATACTCTGGTCGACACTGAAGCAGAGTTGAGCGGCGGGGAGCCAGCGATTCATGCCATCTACCACCACGTCGGTATCGGCTTCGCTCTGCCCAACGATTATAGCGAGGGCATTTTGCTACTTTCGGAGGATCTTAACGGAGAGGCGGAGGCGCTGGCGATTGCCACCTTGCTCGGTGTCCTTCGGCAGACAAGGTCGATCAATCAGCCTCCTCCCAGGCCGAGAAAGAAGTCTTTGGTGAAGCGAGTTCTGGGCAAAATTTGAGCCTTTTGGGGAACAGGACAGACTTCGTGTCTTTGGGAGATATGGACTTGCGTGATCGATTCTGGAAACTTACCGGTCTAGTGCGTATTGGGCGTGGAAATTGAGGAAGATGGTGAGCGGCAGATACCCAGGGAATTTGTATTTTTGCTTCAGTCTCTTATTGTATAGCTACTGTCAATTGGAGAAGGAATGCATATCAGGTCATCCAGACTGAAAAGCTCCGTGGGCCTCGTCCCACCCATTGTGGAAATCGTTAGTGCCTGTCTCGGTTTTCTTGCCATCTGCTCTCAGAGCCTGCGTCTTTTGAACGCGAATTCAAGACAGATATCGGTAAACTCAGCACAAGTTTCTATTTAGTTTGCATTGACTTGATTTCAATCCTTTGACACCGTTCGGCACTTATGTTGATAGAAACTTGATGTACGCCTGAAGTCTTTACGACACTACAAGCATCTTAATGTCACCAAGCCCCAGGAAGGTTAAGCATGCATGTATTTCTGCACTTCGGAAAACTTAAGTACGCAAGGCAACAAAAACGTGGTTGCGGGCGTTAATTTTAGAATCGGTTCCTTAAATTCTGTACCGCTAAGCTCCGACGTACTTACACGTATCTTACAACAGCAGTGACCAAGTTGGAAGTATGCCTTGTCTTGGCATAGTCCGAACTTCAAGGTTCTTTGTAGGCGCATGACTAGTTAGGCCGGACTTCGGCCGTGGTCGGTGGATAGGCACCACATGATACATGTACCTAGGACGATTCTGTACTATCAAGTCATCCGCAAGCCGGGCCTCTACAGCCGTGTTTCCAGTGAACTGGCATTATATACTATTTGGTCCAAGAGGCGTGTCAACGATTATGCTTGCGGTCTTATAAGAACACACATGCATCACTGTTAGGTGATATTCTTCTTCATGTTCAAATGACAATAGTAACATCCTTTTCAATCAGACTTCATCACCTCACTCCGTCCATCGAACACCCATAAGCACACTCTTGAGAGTCGTGGACTTACACGCAGTATCATGAAGCCCGAAAACTGTCTTACTGAACCGATGCCAGTGCGTTTGATCACACTCAACATCCGCTACGCCATCAAAAAGACGCTTTTGCCAAATGAGCAGCCATGGGAAGTCCGGTGCCCGAAGTTGACGTCTCAACTAAGATTCCACACTGCCGGCCTCACAAATGCCTTCATATGCATCCAAGAGGCGCAGAACCAACAACTCCACGACTTAGAAGCGGAATTGGGCCCACGATGGGCCAGCATCGGTTGTGGTCGTGCTGATGGGGTGTCTGATGGAGAATTTTCGCCCGTGTTCTACCGAATTGATCACTGGACTGCAGAGCGAAGTGAGACGTACTGGCTCAGTCCCACACCAGAGAAGCCTTCAAACGCATGGGGTGCAACCATCAATCGCATTTTCACCGTTGGCTTGTTCAAGCACAAGACCTCCGACGCTAGGATCGTTGTGATGAGCACGCACCTCGATCACAAGAGCCATGAAGCCAGGCGCGAGAGTGCCAAATTGCTTCTTAAGATTGCTGAAGAATGGCTCAAGAATGTACTAGAAAGCTCTGGGAAGGATGTGCCGGTTTTTCTAGGCGGGGACTTCAACAGCGGGCCGAAGGACGAGCCGCATCAGATTTTGACAGCCCAGCCTGGAGGCATGAGAGATATCTCGGACTTGGTCCCGGCTTATCAGCACTACGGGAATAAGATCACCCACACGACCTTTGGGGAGGCGGAGTCGACTACGATTGACTATCTTTTTGTACTGAACCACAAGCACATCCGCTTTTGCAATTTCGCCGTTCTCTCAAACCGCTTCGATGACGGTGTTTATTACTCGGATCATCGCCCTGTGGTAGCCGACATGGAGATTCTGCGCTCGAAGGGCTAGTAAAAGCTTTTTTCACATCTACGTGTACCTAATCAATGGAGTCTTCCGACCTTTTGCTCTGTATTGGATCTGCCTAAGTAACTCTCAATATTCTTCGTCGCATAATAAAAGGATAAACCAAATGATGAAAACCTAGGCTCGCATCTCTATCAAACAAAAAACGACTTTGCTGAACTGCCAATTCCCCGCTTGAGGCCCGCGGCCACCGAGGGTGGATCCAGAAGGCTAACGTCGAATCCTCCTTCGGATGACGTTACCTACTGGCAAGGCATGAGAGTCTGGACAGAACGCAACCCCTATTTGTGCTATCGTCGGCCAACGCTTCTCCATTGTGTGAAGATCTTGCGGAAGTCATAGCTCGCATACGCCTAGTGGCAGCGTCGAAACTATCACGTCGGAGCTGATTCGCTGGCTGCATGAGAAAATGAAATACTGTAGGGGGCAGCGAGAACGTGGACTACGCGTACATCGCCATACATGACGACACCTAGGTTCAATGGTTTCCCTAAGCGATTGGTTTGAACGTCAAATGCCTGCAGTAAGGTAGTAATGAGAGAATGTATTCTAGCATACCTATGCACCCCAGCAGCAGATCGAAATTGGAAAGACCTAATTGCGGCATTTGTGATACGCAATAGCTTCTCTTGCTTGCCATCGAGAAGTCAAAGCAACCAAACCGGTATCCGCTCCAGGAGTGCGCGGAGACCGCTTGCGTTGTGAAATTGAACATAAACTCAATGAAGAAAACGTGTTTGAAGTTTCACTTGGAATGTTAACCAAGCATTCTCCATCATACACCAAATTATTCCATCTTTCGGCTATCACAATGATCCTGCTGATTCTGTTTCCGTTGATCCTGGGACAAGTGGCTTTGCAAACTCTTGCAGCCGTTGTTGGACAAGCAAGCAGTTTCAATGTCACGACTGAAGTGGCCTAGAACTATGGTTGTGGCGAAGCTTGCCAGGAAGCAATCCAGACTGGCAACGAGGGCGATCTAGAGATTTTTGGAACCAACTTCGACTTTGACTTTTACGAAACCGCTGCCAACTTCACAGGCTCTAGGCCCGGCGATGTCCTCAAGATTCAACCTGTCATCTCTGCCAACATCACCGTGCCCGCCGGTGTTGCCGTCTACAAGATTCAATACACCAGCGCCGACATCAACGGCTCCCCTGTACCCGTCACTGGCTTCGTCACATTTCCATTTGCTAGGACACAGCAGCCCTTTAACCTGATCGCCTACGCACATGGAACCAGCGGTGTCTTCCGTGGCTGTGCTCCTTCGAAGTCACCCAGATTGTAGAATTACCAAAGCTGGTCACCGATCCTTATTGCAGGATACGCGGTTGTTGCTACCGACTATGCTGGCCTGGGAAATAACTACACGGCTCACAAATACGTAGCTAGCGCAGCCAATGCCAATGACACATATTGATCCGTTGTAGCTGCTCGTACAGCCTTCCCCGACATTCTTTCGCACGATTTGGCTTCGATTGGACATTCTCAGGGCGGCGGTGCGGTGTGGAAGCTGTCAGAGCACAAGCTCGTCCAAGATTCAGCCAGTGGATATCTGGGAGGTGTTACCGTGGCGCCTGTTACCAAGGTCTACGACGCGCTGGTTGCCATCGAATCGCTTCGCAATCTTACTCAGACCGGAGGAGACGATCACGACTTTCTGGCTTTGGGCGTCATTCCATCTGCTGTAGTTGGCATCAGGGCAACGTTCCCTGATTACGAAGCCCCCATCATTTCGGCCAAACTGAAAAACAGAATCGAGCTCGCAAAGATCGCACAGCTATGCGACGCCGCTATCTCGAGTCTCACAGTTGACCTTCGCTTCGACGCTCTTTCCAATCGCACTGCCACATCCGACACGCGCCTTAAAGAGTTCCAAGAGTTGAACGCCCCAGCTCAAGGCGGCCGCGCCTCAAAGCCGCTGCTTTTGGTTTTGGGTGAGGATGATACCATCGTCTCAGAGGAGTCCGGTACCGCCTCGTTCGACGAGACCTGCGTCTACGGAAACCCTGTTCATATGAGCATCTACCCCGGCTTAGACCACTCTGCTGTCTTGACGGCAGCAACACCTGAGTGGCTTGCGTTCTTCCAGGACCGATTTGCCGGGAAACCTTTTGGAGGGTGCTCTACCTTATTCAGAACTATAGCATTGGCTATATTTATGGAGCCGCAAGTGTACATAATGTCGCCTCCAACAAAATGGTTACTAAACACCAAAAGAATAATAATGTCTCTGGTGATAAACTAAGCGACAAAACATAGATACATTAGAAGTGCTCATGAAGGTCGAATAATCAATATAAATCCCTTCGTCACACGTGATTTCATCTGCTTATTCTGAATGTTATCTCCAGAGTCATCCTTCTCCTGCTATTCTGTAAGTCTTAGCACATAGGACGAGCGGAGTCCACCTTCATCGGCGGCAAGAGTCCGAGTTCTCCCAACTCTTGGAACGTCTCAAAGAGACTCTCAGTCGTGTCAACGAATCCAGTCCACCCGAGCCGTTTCGCCTTGTTCATACAAGGGCTTCCAGCCCGAAGGTACGCATACTCAGACATGGAGAAAGCCTCGGGGTCCGCGAATGGGTCATTCGTAATCTTGCCTCCAGACTCCTTCATGATCTCGCGCCAAGCAACAGCATTCTCCTCCTCCTTTGCCCAGTCGGCAAGAGTGAAACGCGTCTTGGAAGAGAAAGGAGGGCCGTAGCCGAGGGGCGCCTTCTTCCCCGACTTTCCAGATATCTTCGTCTCAAGGCCAGACTCGTCGTCCGGTGGCGGCACCACCTTCTCAACACCGAACCAGCGAGCCAGCTCAGGGAAGAAGCGCTCCCACACCAGCGGGCCTCCGTCCTGGGCGTTGAAGTTCTCGTTGGCGCAGTCTTTGTTCAGGGCTGCCCACTCGGTCAGGTAGCCTGTCATTCGTGCCGAGCCGTGGTAGGTCTCATACTGCCACGCCTCCCAGTCTCCTCCAAAAACGAGAGGCTCACCCTTGCGTGCTTGCACAGCAGCGTAGATGCCGAACAGGTAGAACATGTTCATTCCCGCTTGTGACGAGCTTCCGATGATAGCGCAGGGCATGATGATGTTCCATGCTGTGCCATACTTTTGGCAGAAGGCTCTGAGCAAGTCCTCCTGTGGGTAGTAGAAGTTGGGCTGCAGGTGTCTTGGCTGGGGGTCAGACTCGAGAAGGGGGGTGCGTCCGCGACCAATGTGCACACCATGGCTCTTGCCGCCGGTCTGGAGAATGAAACGAGTTGGCTTGATGTCCGCCAACTCCAACGCCTCGAGGAAGTTCTTGAGGAGGGCAACGTTGCTTTCCACAAGACCATCGACATCAGTCCAGAGCTTATGGATGTAGGAGTAGTAGAAGATGTGATCAGCTCGCACGCCAGCCTCTTTCATGCTCTTGGCAATCGAAGCAGGCTCATCGAGAAAGTCACAAGTAACAATCTCGATTCTGGAACGAGCATCGGCAGACAAGAGGTTCATCATCTCTTCCGGGGGAGGACGGCGAGAGAGACAGAAGATGGTCTTCCACCGCTTAGGGCTATCCAAGAGAGCCCGCATCGTGTTGAAACCGGAGATACCATTGGCACCGGTAATGATGGCAGTGAGACCTTCAACGGACTCGTCAAAGGTTGGAAGATTTCTGTAGATGCCAATTTGGCGGAGGGCTGAGAACGAGGGGCTCATGATGAAGACTTGTTGGCTGGGATGTAAGTGATGATTGTCAATGAAGATGAGAAAAGAAGATGCTTCAAGAGTGTGCTGAGACAACACATGAATGCGAGTTCTCACCCATCTTTAAGTAGCAAATCCTTTCCTCTCCCTATCTGTCTCTACTCAACTAAGATCGACTCTATCAGTCTCATCTTTGCCTATCTCTGGTCTGTTTCTCTTTCCCGTATCAGGCCCCAGCATTGACACGGTGCGTCATATTGTTCACCCACACAAGGGGTTCTCACATTTCTCGGCGGCTTTCCGTCATAGACTAGGGAATATGCACGCCGTCACAGTGCGAAAAACTTCCGGATCGGACCCGGCCTCATATAATCGGGCTTGAGGCGAAATTGACCGATGTGGGACCCCTTGGACGCGGCCATAAATGGTCCACAGATGTCCGTTTCGGGCCAGTTGGAGCGCGGCCAAAAGTGCAATTTTGGCGCCGGGCCAAGCGTCGACGCCATTCACGGCCCTCACAGTGCTATAGGACAATTATGTGGGGCGGCCCCTTTTCCATCCAGTCTTTGCTTGTCTTTTGAATGGGAATGTCTGACCGAGTTGCTTTTTCCCGCTGGGGGTTACGCGGATTGCTGACCTGGCCCGAAGTCCGTCTTGGGTTTCCGACTCATCAAACGCATGTGGTGTAACAGTGGAAGGGTTTTCATCCAGATTCAGGTAGAGTGGTGGTAGTGAAGTCGTCTCATTTGGTAAAGGGTGGTTACATTCCGTGTGAGCCGCCTCTTATCTCATCCTTCCGTGTTGATCTCCCGAGTTACGAGTAGTCAATTGTGATAGCAGATGCGCCGATATTGAACGGAGTTAAAGATAGTCATTTGAGGAGGTGATACGATAGTCTACTACATACAAATTTACCATACTCTCCTTGGCCTCTCCCATTCATTGACGCAGGAGCACTCGGTAATCACAAAGGGCTTTGTCGTCTCCGTTGCCTCGACAGACAGGGCACTTCTAAGCGCGGGCGATAGGCTGAGAGTGTAACTCAAACTTCAGCTCATTCGGCATTCGAGCATCTAGACTGGCCTGCGCCAGCTCCCATAATGCATCACGTGGTCTCAACCCCAGAGACCTGTGATGTGGTAAGTGTGGGTGTCCACAGCAAAGACATCCTGATTCACACAGATGCGCATCAAACAGAACACGCCATTGGATCCAAGACCCCAGTAGCCGACCAGGTCCTTGACAACTTCTTCATCGCTTGCGTTGAAGGGGTGCTGAAGATCCCACTTGTCCAATAGCTGCATGAGAATCTTGGCCTCCTTGCTCTGCATCCCGTCGGGTCGCAGCGCCTCCACTAACCTCTCCATACTGCCCTCCACAATGTTCTCACAGTTGGACAGGGACCCGTACACATCTCCTTCATGTTCTTCATGACACGCTTGGCATTGTTCCACCTGATCGCCCGGCTGAGGGCAGCTATCACCAAAGCATCCATCACATATGGGCACTCTTGAGCTGAAACATCTGGATCTGCAGAGAGTTCCCGAATCACATCTCCATGAAGCCCTTCCGGGGTAATTATATAATCGACCTGACATTCGTCATGGGTCGGTTGGAGGAAGTTGGGGTATGGAGATGACTGGGCATGTTGAAACCAGGCGGCACACCTTTTTATCTCGTTCTTCTTCTTCTTAGACTTTGGCGCGTTCTTATCAGTGACTTTCTTTGTGATTGATGAAGATTTCCGACGCGTCTTGCGCTTGATATTGGCTTCCAACTCGTCGGAAAGTGTGCAATCGGAGTCTTTGTGCGTTATCTTGGACGATATAGAGCTGGGGGTTCCTGTCTGGGTAGCTGATCGCGTGCGTGTTGTTGTTGGGATTAACAGTGATGCCCTGTTTATGGGACTGGTGTTAAAACTTGTTCTGGTCTAGGCGGGTCTCAGGAGAAGGTATGATCGTGCGAGACAGACCCCTACGCGCATCTGCGTGATATGACTGGGAAACAGTTCCATATTTGCTGATCTTCTCATGCTAGGTCAGGTCTCCAACATGTCTCATTCATAAGTTCTCACGGACAATTTAATAAGTGTTGTTGTCCGACACAGAAGCCATCTCTCTTGATGACGGCGTTCGCAGTCCCTGTCGATCTAAGCGCAAGCCCCCCTAACCGTCCGATCGATCCACGCCACTCAAGGGCTAGTAGGGGATTCGCGCTCCAAATCACTAAAACCTAGTACCGGTACATCGTTGCGTGCCCCAAAGGCCACCATTGTTGGAGTCATTAAGACAGCCAAATGTGAAAATGCTCCTCATCGAGCTTAACCTGAAAACGTACTCTGATTCTCGAGTTTCTACGGTCCCGAGCAATGTCTAATTTGGCAACGACGAGGCAGCCACCAATGGCCCAGATCCCAAGCGAAGAATGGCCAAAAACACTAAAACGCTTATCAAAATCAGAAAAGAAGGAAACCTAAACACGAACCTTGTCATATCCTGTTCCTCTCTGAAGCACCACCAACTTGTCTCGTCCACAAGTCCTTGTATCTGTTACCTTGCGCCAACAATTCTTCGTGAGTACCACTTTCAACCACTCTCCCCTCGTGTATGACCACAATCTTGTCCGAGTTGACAACCGTTGAGAGTCTGTGCGCAATAACGAACGTCGTCCTGCCACTCTTCAAAGTCTCCAGAGCATGCTGAATATTCGCCTCAGTCATCGTATCAACCGCACTCGTCGCCTCGTCGAGAATCAGAATGGGCGGATCCTTTAAAAATACCCGCGCAATGGCAAGTCTCTGGATTTCACCGCCGGAAAGTTTGACCCCCTGCTCGCCAACCTTGCTCTCGTAGCCGTCGGCGAAACTCAGGATCCGATCGTAGATCGCAGCAGCCCGACATGCCTCGAAAACGTCTTCGTCTGTCGCAGATGGCCGTGCGTAACGCAAGTTTTCCATGACGGATGCGTTAAACAGCAAGGGGTCCTGCGGAACAACCCCAAGGGCTTCGCGAAGCGATGTGAGAGTGACGTCGCGAATGTCTTGGCCGTCAATAGTGATACGACCGCTTGTGACGTCGTAAAACCGCAGCAGCAATTTCATGATTGATGACTTTCCAGCGCCCGTCTCTCCGACCAACGCGATAGTCTTTCCTGGTGCTGCTGACACGTCCAGCTGTTCAATAGTCTGTCTCCTTGGATCGTAGGCAAAGCCGACATTCTCAAATGCGACGTGGCCTTTGACGGGCGTGAGGTTCTTGGCGTTCTCCCTTTCGACGATGGTTGACTTGGTCAGTAGTAGATTGAGAAGACGTTCGGCATCCACCAAGTCTGACATCAAGTACCGGTAGTTGTGTGAGAGGAATTTGAGAGGCCAGACCAGATACTCCCAGTATGTTAAGAGCAACACAAAATCTCCGGGGGAAGCTCGGCCGTTAGTGATCTCATACAGTACCAGGCATGCTAGCACAAAAAATGTCACTGGCACGGTCGCCTCCAGGAGAGCCTGAATGAAAGCATCGCCGACTCCATATCTACGGCTAGCGGCGAGTTGCGAGTCCACAGCCTGGCCGAAGCGGCGCTTCTCGAAATTGAACATGTTGAAATACGTGACGGTCTGCCATCCTTGAACAGCCTGGTGCATGATTCTCGCTTCCTCTCTTTCAGCTTTGCTTGACGCCCTGCGATTCGCAAGGTTCATGTTTGAAGTGACGACCTCCAAGGTTGTGAAAGCCACAGAAGCCACAAGCATAGCCAGAGAGACGTAGACGTTGAATTTCCAGTACAGGAACCAGAGTGCGATGAACATGTCCGCAACTGTCGGCAGTATGTCAATGACGGCGGTCTCGAGCAGATTGCTAAGGGCTCCACCCTGCTCAATGGCCTTCATGACTTCTGCAGAGTCTCTCTCAGCGTGGAACTCCATGGGAAGGTTCATGACGTGACTAAAGGCGGCATTGGTGATCTGCCTGTATGAAAACTGCTTGATGGGAATTTTCGCGAGTGCTTCAATCAAACCCAGACCTGACTCGCCGCTGATGAGACTTAAAAGCAACCATATGGCCAGTGCACCGTACGGTGCTTCTTTCGCCAGGATTTTGTCGGTGACGATGCCGAGTTGACGGGGGATCAGGATGATCATTGCTCTTCCACCTGCTATGCACAGAAGGCAGAGAACAATTGAAAGTTGAACTTTTCTGTCGCTTCTGGGGATCAGAAGCGGGACAAAGATTTTGAAGTCTTTCAAATATCCCAGCCATCCGCCCGTTTCTTCTAGTCTCTTGGCTCGCCGACGCTTGATGCTGGCGCTATCGTCGTCGTCGTCGTCGTCTGTATCTTCGTCTTCGGAGCCATCACTGGCGATCTCGGTATCGGTATCATCCCTGAAGCGTTCGGTTCCATAGTCTGCAGGCCCTTCTTGTGCATGCGATCCCAGGAAAGGCTGACTTTCTGCTGAGCAGGCTCTGCTGCTACCGCCCCGATTGGTAGTGCTGGCCAAAGCAACCAAAACTAAACCAGCAATGACAAAGATCCGAGCTCCTTGGCAAACAAGACAAACAACGTCGGGGGTAGAAAATGATTGTCCACGAACATTGAGAACCAGCAGAGGAATCTCGAGCAAGAATATTGCAGTGCAGGCGCTGAGTAAAAGCCGTGGCACATTCCCATTAGAACAAAGCGCTATCCACGCGAAAGTTGACAGCAAGACGTGGATAATGTGAGCTTGCTCCTTATTGAAAGCGTCGGGCTGAAAAGTTGCAGCGACTAGATCAGAGACGTATGTAATAATGACGATGAGTTTCGCAATTTTCTCGGGTTTTGATCGGCGATGTTTGTAATCTTTCGTTGATGTGTGTTTCCTCTTGGCTTGGCCTGACTGAACTGAAGCCGAAAGGCCGATGAGCACGGCGCTCAGGGCACAGCCGTAGTGCAGGGCCTGCGAGGCTTGTGAAGGGGAGATCATCATGAAGGAGTCGATGAAGATGAGAATGAAACTCAAACTAAACATTGGCAACTCACTCTCTGTCTTAAGTAGTTGATGAGAAACATTTTATCGTAGTCTACTCTTTACTTAAGGTTTCCCGGGGATAACCGTGCTGTGCACCAAAAATCTGACGCTATGACATCTTACCCTGTGTAACACTGCCGTACCGGTAGATGCCTTGAGTTCATCGCCGCATCGGTAGCGCTGATAATTTTCCCCATAGACATTTACGATCTACCCGGAATGGGATTGTAGGCTTTGCTGAAGTGCCGTGGTCCAATCCACTTTTCTTCACCTTGAAACTAAGCCTCGGGCCGCGTCTGACTCATCTCTCCGGCCCAGTATGATTCACTTCTCATCATCGCGTAACGGAACATTCGGGCCCCGATACGTTGGAAATGTCGACGTTCAAGGTGCTCGTATAACGGTGGGCATTCTTGACTGCGGGACACAGAGCCACTGAGGCCAAAATAAACTACGACCACCGCGAGTTAGACTGGCATGACTAGGGGAAAAGGTCAACAAATCTTTATCCTCAATTTGCACAATGGTGGCTGAGGGCCAGCAACGAGCTCAATTGCAACGTCGGGAATGACTCAGAGGTAAGTATCTCGCAGAATTCTCTACAGGTTGATGCTGCAATTGGGCGAATTTTGAACGCCATGATGACTGCGATTTCATATGCTCGACAGGCCCAATTACGATAGAGTGGCAATATCCAAGACTCATACCATCCTTGTCTCTTACATTCAATGCTTCTTCTTTGGAGTACCAATCAACATCTTTCATTTACTGCCCAGAGCCATTGCAGCCATCTGTTTCGTCGCAATGGAGACCGGTGCGGTACCCTTCGACTCTTCAACTTCAGCCAATATCTTCGCCCTGGCCTGTCGCTCAATCCAGTCTTTTGCGCCATTGTAGGTACAATTATAGTCCATAAACTCAGCCGGATTCCTGTGATTATTAGCGACAGAATCACTTGCTTAATTCTGATAACTGACATCGTGATCTTGTTGTTGCCCTTGTCTGTCGCAGGCTTTCCGGACTCTCTACTGTAGCCTTGGATGAGTGTGGCCCTCTCATACCGACAGTCGAATACTATCTGTTGAAATGTTAGCCACTGAGCCTCAGCATCAATGGCTAATAGGCTTGTCACCTTCAGTCTCTCTGTAATCTGATATCTGGTCGGCTTTTCCTTGATATCTGAAAAGATGGCTCCTAGAGCCTCTGCATCCTCGATAGCCTGACTGGCCCCCTGTCCTTGAGTCGGAAGCATCGGATGTGCGGCATCACCGATAATAATTGCACGTTCGCAGTACCAAGTATCCAATGGGTCCTAAACGAGTGTCAAATCTTTTACCCCAAATATTACTATTGGGCTCTAGC